AAATAGGGGGCTTGCACCGCCTTTTTAGGGTACCATTAGTCAGATAGCTCAGAAAATAGTTTGGACACTTGTTTTCTACCACATCGCTAGTTTCCTTCTACGTTATGGTCTGTTACAGCACAAAATGGATTGTAAGCTGCTGGAGTTTATTTTTCATACAAATGTGTTGTTTCTTCAGCAAAGATTTTCTCAGCCTCTGGACAGAGGGGAGGGCAGCTGAAAAAAAGCAGCGTTAGTTTTGAACAAAAACATTCTCCCCATCTTTTTAAGGTAAAAATGTAGCTGGGGTGGAAGTTGTCATTTATTCCCTGCTCTGATAAGTGCCTTAGATATTGTCATCTGTTCGGCACAAGCCACAGATACTACTTGAGCCTCATACGGCAGGTGGGTGTCCCGGATTTGCATGCCTTAAGCTTTGTTTTTCTAGTGAGAAGAATGTGATGGTGGTACAGCTCAGCCCCAAGGAGATGTGAGGCATTTGCTGTTTGCATTTGTGCTAGGCCTTGCTTATCTCCCCTTTTTCCAGTGGCCTGCACACCGGCCCCCACCCCGCCTCTCAGCTGCCCCAGATTTGGGGTGTTTGAAATCTGCATCCCAATTCCAGTTCCACAGAACTCAAACAAATTACCTCTTTCAAGAAATCTCCATGGTGGTTTGCTGACATTTTCTCTTCCTCACTTTGCTGACCCCTCTCATATCTTTCCTTGCAGAAGGGGATTGGGTGGTTTATGGGACTTGTAATCGACTGCAGAGCCTTTCACTGCTGGGCCATCTGTTCAGGTTCAGCCAGGTCCATAGCGGCCAAAATCTTCTTGGTGTTAAACCGCGGTGGTGATATCTGTTCAGGGCTGGGTGGTTCTGCCCATTCATCCAGACACTCTGCACCGGGGACGAGGTTTGAGCAGAGGGGACAGGGCACCGTGTCCAGGATGGATGTGCTCTGCATCTCTGCATGGAGGAAAGAGGTGAGGTGCAGGTTGGCACACGGAGGGGATAGCGCTCTTGCATTTACCGAATGCCGTGTCTTTAGTGATTGCCAGGCTGCAGTGGAAGTTAAAGCATCAGACCTGGGGAATGGGCTTCAGTAGCATAAATTGTTGTCTCTGGAAGGACGCTAGAGCAGGAGGATTAGTGTAAAATAGAGAGGGAGATTCCTTTTGAAGTTCCAGTTTAATGGAACTCCAGCTTCAAACTTCTCCCTGGTCTGCGAGTGTGATACTCACCTTGCCTCTGCCACATCTGCTCTGTGAATAAACAGAGATCTGGTCTCCCAGAGAGCTGCAAAAAGTTTTCTCAAGGCAGTGCAAAGCTGTATCCGTCTTTCAGGCTTTCATTATAACGTTAAACTGCAAAGGATCCAACAGGGTTGCACTTTGAGACAAAGCTTCAAGCCAGGACACATTCAGGGGTTTCCTTAAGGACGAGTTTGCCCAACACTGCTTTCAGTATTTTCAGTGGGACACCGAACAAACTTGCTGTCTTTGATTCAGTTCTCGTGCTGAGATTTTGGGCCAGCCGGAGCAGGACTTGGAGCTTTGCATGCCCAAGCCAAGGAGACTCGAGATGTTTGTCCGGACAGTCACAGTAGCTCTCTAGCAGTCGGTGTGCTGTTTTTCACAACACAAATCACAAGAGAAAAGCAAAATGAAAAAGATTCAGTGTATGCAGCCTTGCAGGTCAGCTCCTCCTTTGTGCATTCTGTGTTCTGCCAGTGGGTCGGAGTCTGTTCTTGCTTCTGTGTGCAGCAACACGTCAGAGTACATAAAAGTGGGAAGAACATCTTTTTCCTTATGTGAAAGAAATAGCTAACTGATCCCACCACCTTTGAACTTAAGTCAGTGAAACCCACTGATAAGCAGCAGCAGGCGTGGGAGATGTCCCAAATAGAAAATCCCAGAGAGAAAAATACTGTTGTTGAGTACTGAAGCCTTGAACTTGCTTATAAAATAGTACTGTGTTCCTATGAAATTAAAGATTCTTCGGTATCATTTTCTCTTCCAATTAAAATCAATCACCAATAAAGCTTGATTTTCTTCTTCCTGCAGTTCGTAGGTAAAATGTACTTGAACTTTAGTGATGTTGTTCCCATAAACGCTTCATAACCCTGCCTTACAAGAAATGACAAAACCTCTTTGTTAATGAAGTGGCATTTGCACTGTGATAACACTTTTCATCCAAGCAACTGAGACGGCTTTGCAAACATTTATTTAAGCTTTACAAACCCCAGGAGCTGGAGGAGTGCTAGTGTATGTGTTTATGTAGATGGGCCGGACTGAAGCAGGAGAAGGTTGAGAGACTGGCATAAAGGTATCGCAATAAACCAGAGCCAGGGAAGAACCCAGTGTCTTGTCAGTACTTCTGCGTTTGTGGCCTTACTTGTGCTACTGGATGGTAGCACGTCCCCCTTCTGGGGACTGCCTGACTGTGCTTGCCCTTGTGCAGGGTAGTGTGACATGGCTCTGTCCTCTGTCATGGAGGTTTCACCTAGCAGGTTTTGCGTGCCAGGTGGGTACGAACATGCACACTGCCACGGGGGAATAACTTTCAAACTACATTAACTCGACCGTATTTGCTGGTGCACTGGACTGCACGCCCAGAACTGCAGTCTCTCCTGTTCAAATCAACAGAGGAGAGTCATGTTCTAGAAATGGATTTTTGTGGAGTGTCATGTGGATTGGCCCTTCTGGAATACACCAAGACACTGGGGTTTTTTTGAGGCAAGGTGGAGAAGGAAGATTTGCTCGTTAATAAAGCTGGAGGGGAGGATTTAATTGGATCCAGTGGTGTGTTTTATTTTTGCATCTCAATTTGTATGGATTAGCACTTAAAAGATAAATCACTTTTAGTCTTGACAGCTTAAAAGTAAAATCCCTGAAAGCTTATTGTTTTACTCCTCAATGCAGTTCTGTACTATCTGTTGGCTTCTGACATTAATTTACACTCATTTTCCTATTTGCTAAAGCAGCATACAGTACAGTGGCCTGTCATCATCTTTCTTTCTTGCAAAACCCTGTTCTCTTGGGTTTATAATGTGGTGAAATTAGTTCCAGAAAAACTTTTGATATGCAAAACTTGAGGCTAAGAGAAATTTGTTTATTAAGGATTTGGATGAAATTGTTTTCGTGATGATTTAATTCAACTGTTTGCAAAAAGGCCCCTGATGAGGACAGGGCAGGCCCTGCCATCCGCAGCTAGGTTCCCACTTCTGTCCCGGGAGCGCTAACAAATTGCAGTTGTTGGTCCATGAACAGTGGAGGCTCTGGCACCTCATTGGTCACCCGTACTGTCCGAGCACCCTGAGAGCAGGGAAGGGGGTGCAGACAGTAAGCAATGCCCAGGGGTTTGGTGAGCCCTTGACTTGAACAAGTCGTGTGATATTGGGTGATTAAATCGAAAAAGAAAAAAAAAAACTGGCTTATCCCACATATCTTCAGAAAGTTACGTCTCTGGAAATACCCACCAGGATCACAAAATATGGAACACGATCCATTTGCAGTTTACATTTGTATCTGTATATGTTGCTATGTGCACTTTCACACGTCAAAGGGAAGGAAAGGGGAACATTTCTTTGCGTTTTCTTGGTTGCCATTGATGACATTTGGCTTTGGTGGATTCCCCAGTGGTATTAATGGTTCCCAACTTTCTCCAAGCTCAGCAGAACCATGTTTGTCACTAATTGGACCTGCAAAGCTGAGACAAGAAGAGGCATAGATAGGAGCATGCATGGGAAGAGTAGGAGAGGGTAAAGTGATCTGGGTCACATACAGCGGTGCTGCTTTGAGACCATGCTAATCATCAACAGAGAAGTTTTATGAATCCTCTTGGAAAGCTGCATCTTAGAAAGAATGGCGTAGCACTCAGGAGTTCGTTTTAAATACCCACAAGTTTTGTGCTTTCTAAGAGGGGAATTGATATGGTTACCTGTTTTTTCTGCATGTTCCTTTTCTGTCTGGGCTAGGTCTAAGAAGTTTCAGTCCTTCATTGAGAGCTGCCTAGTAAAGAACCATAGCCAGAGACCGACGACAGAGCAGCTGATGAAGCATCCCTTCATCCGGGACCAGCCCAACGAAAGACAGGTTCGCATCCAGCTCAAGGACCACATCGACAGGACTAAGAAGAAGCGAGGCGAGAAAGGTTAGTGGAGAAGCAGCATTATGGGCAGTCTCTCACCTTCGTAATGTGCTTAGAGATCCCTAGCACAGAGCAAGATATAGTTGTGCTGGGCAAAGCATAGAAGAAAGAAGGCAAAGAATAGACTGCAACACTGCAGCATATTTTCTTTGCGGTTTTTTTGCTTGATCTGTAGCTTGAGTTTTGCCTTTGCCTGATTTGCATCCCAGCATCCCATACAACAGTCCGTAGCTCAGATGAAGCGAGGTTTCAAACTGATTCATTATCACCCATCAAAGGGAGCCATGTGAAGGCCAGTGACTTGGGGACTTTGAGGTAATAAGGCCGCGGGGATGCAGCAACTCTTCAGGGTTGGCTGGGAGCATATTTTCGGGACTGAGTGGCTCATGGTCACAGAACCAGTTTCATTAACAGATATGGCTGAATGTGTCCTCAGGCTGGTTTAGTTCAGTTAAACAGGCGTGGTCCTTTTGTGCGAACACTCTTGTTTTGGTTTAAGGTCAGGTTATTTTTTTAAAATGGATTCCTCTCAGTCTTAACCAAAGTTGAAACATAAATAAATATCTGTAGCAAAGCAACTGCTGTTTTAAAAAAAAAAAAAAAAAGGCTACAGGTGATTATCATTAAAAGCTAACCAGTGTTCTAAAATCTTTTTTCCAAAGAAAAGGGGATCTTTTTTGTCCAAATGGTGATTTCTGCATGGCTCTTTCAAGCTTTGATTCATTAAAATGGTTGTACAAGATGTATGTGTGCATATATATGTACAAGCATATGGAAGGAGGAACATGCTAAGCTGAAGTTTTCCCAGATCACTTATTTTATGCCAAGCCTTTTATCTACGTGGCATTTAAGTTGCACCAACAGTGTGCTGTGAGTTGCGGAAATGAACATCTCAGTAAGACCCTTGCCCCAAAGCGAGGCCATTGACTTGGAATAACCTGTTAAACTGAATGTTTTCAGTGACTTCTCCCGTCCTTATCAGAGTCCTCTAAAAGGAAGATCAGATAGCTAAAGCAACTTGTTAAAGTATTCTGTTACTTGTGACATGAATTTTGACTTGAAAGCGCGTTTGTAAAATCCAACAAATTAATATATTGCTATTTCTCTCTTTAATTGGAGCAGTATTAATTTTTCATGTGTACCTTCTGGTTCTTTTTGACAGATTGCAGTACATCGAAACAATAAAACTGAATCGTAGTGAAGTATTAAACGTGTTTAGTCTGGCAAACAAAGGTTTTACCCTAGAGATGGAGAGTAATGGGATATATACAAGCCTTTCTTTTCCTATCGTTCCCTTCATCCGATAAAGATTATATCCCAACAGAAAGCACAGTATGTAGCACAACATAGTAATTGAGCTTCTATGTAGATATCTTCACTGCCGGGAAAATATCACATGGATTTGTGTAGGAGTGGTGGAAGAGCATATACGTTCAGGGGCAGAAAAGTTCGTGCCTTCAGAACGACAGTTAAATCCCACCCTCTAAAGCCAGTGGCTTCAAAAGCTCATCATGCGCCTTCGTCTGCAAGAACACCTCTGCAGAGTGGGGCCACTCATTGTGTTTGGTGCATTGGTATAAATTTTTATTTAACAGAGGCTATTGGCACCTTCTGTCTCTCTACCAAGCCTCTCTGTGTCTGGAAGCCATCCCCCACTGTGCTGGCACTGGCAGGCAGTGCTCCAGCTGGGACTGCGGTCCTCCGCGAGCCCGCGGAGCGAGCAGCAAGCTGGCACCCCAGGGAGACTGCCGAGCGCTTCCCTGGCTTTGCAGCCTCTGGTAGAATGAGCAAATGGAGAGACAAAAGCTTGAAAACAATATTGCCTGTTCTTCATAATACAAGAAAAAAAAAGATTGTCAGTTCTCCCCTCAGAGCTCTGGCGTTTTCAACCATCAGGAAAACCAACGAGTCCAGTAAAGGGCACTGATAAGCAATTATGTTCCTAGATGAGACAGAGTACGAGTACAGTGGAAGTGAGGAGGAGGAGGAGGAAAATGACTCTGGAGAGCCCAGGTAAAAATCAACGTTTCATTTCTGCCCTTGTATCTCTTTAACTCGGTATAAAATTGGCTTGGATTAGAGGCTCCCTATGAACTAGAAATGGGAAAAGAAAATTTGATCATTGAGCTCGCCCCGGGAAAGAACAAAATATCTCCCCTCTAATAGATGATGAACCGTATTAAGTTGATGCTAGGTTGGCCAAAAGTTTGGGAAGAAGCAATACCCCATTTTGTGTGGGATTTGCAGTGCAGCCCGTTAACGGCCCAGGAACGCAGTGGTTGCCCATGTTATATATACCTTGTTCACTGGTGGGCAGCTCTGCTTTGTGGTTTTGAAGCTGCAGTGATCTCCCAGGTGATATTTTAAGATAAGAGCAGCATGGCTTGGCCAGTGATGCGGGGTAACTGTGGGATGCAGATTTACTGGGGGATGGGAGGACCGAAGCCCTCTCCCACCACCGCCGGCCTTTCCCATTGTGCCACGCAAGGTGGGCTTCAGGCCTGCCCCATTTAAGCCAGCCCTGTATCCGATCTGATTTACCATAGCTGGATTTTCTTTTTCGTATGATGGTACACTGACTGCCACGTGAGTTGCCTGCTTGAATATGTTGGCCATAACTGAGCAGAGCCAAGCTATCATGGTCATACTGGTGAGGAATTGCTCTCTCTTACCCATTACTTGCGTGTTGCCCAGCTTGTCAGGAAGACGATAAACATTTACAACTACTTATGTGGATCTAGCTTCTGAAAAGGTTCCTGGTGTTTTTTTTTTTTTTTTTCCCTTTTGCAGACTGTGTGTAAAATGAATTGCTTGTGCAGATCAGCTTGCAGGATATAAAACTGCTTGTTCAGAGCAAACCAATTGGCTTTCATGTGCAAAAACTTTCGTTCACGTGCAGATGTGTGTGCTCACATGAACTTTGCTGTGAGGAGCTGCACATGTGACTACTTAGATGTGGGAAAAATGCAAGCTGAAATTCAGGAAGATTCTTGAAAATGTGGTTCTTTATTTCCAAGTGTAGCTCCATATCTACATGTAACTTTTGTCATGAAACCTTTCCAATTACTGCTGCAAGCATAATAGGGTTTGAACTTTCTTTCTTTGATGACATTTTTGAGAGTCGTCGTAATTAGTATCAGATTATTCCATTATTTCACTGAGATAATGTAATATTTTAATAGCTGGCAGTGATTCATGCTAGATGTGCTTTGTGAACAGCTAAATATAGTGTGTGCCACTGCAACATAAGAGACTTTGCTTAGAAACCTTTAGTGAAGAAGCGCCTGGGGAGCCTGTGAGGAGCTGGAGAGTTCTCTGCATTCCCAGCTCACAAGCCAAGCCTTATGTCCCAGCAGGATTAACAGCAAAAGATTTCAAGATTTCTTCAGGATTTCTCTTTAAAAAAAAAAAAAAGGAAATGGGAAAGAGATGATGTGCAATTCACATTGTACCTGGCAGTGGTTGAGCTGTCCTGCCCGGACACTTGTGTCTCCCTATTTCCCTCCATCCGCTACTGCCCAAGCACTTTCCGTTGCTCGAATACAGTTACGGGGAAGGGCACGGCCAGCAGGGAGAGGGGACAAAACAGAAAAATGTGCAGAATTTCCCCTGATGAGAGGCTTAAAGATGTTTGTAGGAACTTCTCTGATGCTTCTTTCCCATGAAGCTCCATCCTGAACCTGCCTGGAGAGTCGACGCTGCGACGGGATTTCCTGAGGCTGCAGCTGGCGAACAAGGAGCGCTCGGAGGCCCTGCGACGGCAGCAGCTGGAGCAGCAGCAGCGTGAGAATGAGGAGCACAAGCGGCAGTTGCTGGCGGAGCGGCAGAAGCGGATTGAGGAGCAGAAGGAGCAGAGGCGAAGGCTGGAGGAGGTAACAGCCAGAGTCGAGCGATGGGCTGCTAGAGGTTGTTCTTGGGCTGATTAGGGGGGTTTCTGGTAGCAGTTCCTAAGGGAACTGTTTTCAGCCGACTTTGGAAAAATGATGTCCTAACCTCCCTGGGAGGAATGCTGGTAAACCAGAATGCTGTGTTACACTGAACAAAAAACCCTGTTGATCCATTATGTATACCGACTTCCAGCCGCTCTCCTCACCATGATATGTAAGTGTTGCCAGCTCTTCTGAAGGTAGTAGGGTTTGCTCACTATCAATCGAACCCTTCAAATACCAAATTTTTAAAGGGTCATTTGAACTACCGGGCAGAGTTAGTTCAGTATTGATGTGGTACTTGTATTCAGGCTATTTTGTGCTAAAATCTAGGTGAGCAAAACCCTCAGCAGCCAGGAATCTCCCAAGTTAATTGTATTTATTTGTTGCTGTGGCCTTTGACATTTGAGAAGAAGCTGAAAAGCCTCCGTTCACCCTTTCCCAAGATCCACGTACCACTTATGTCCCCTTTAATCCCTGTTTGCAACTTCAGTCCTTGCCAATTGCAACAGTTTTTCTTTGGGGGGGGTGCAGATTCCTGCGTGACTCGTGCAAAGATCTGTATGTGCCCCGAAGCATAAGATTTCATTACCCTTGTCTTAACATACCAGCTACAAATACTATCGGTTATAAAATTATCCAACCCCTTTAAAATCCAGCTGCGGTATTTGACTGGGTGACTTTGGGTGCCAGTGCGTTGCCCTGCCTGGCTGCATACCCTGGATGAAGCGCTTGCTTTTGTTTTAGCTTCATAGATCTTGCATTACCGAAGTCCACAAAAGAGTAAGGGGTTTTCCCCTGGCCTTAGCTTTCTGATGTGGTTTTTCACAAAGAAACCCATTGACTTGCACTGAAGTCATCCCAAGAGTCTGGTTGCAGGGTTCATACATTAAGTGTAATTAAATTAGCTTTCTGAAGAGATCACCGATATGTCTGGAAGAAGACTTGCAGTAAATGGATTATTAGAGCACACACCCCCATAATTCGAACAAGCCAGAGAGCCTGTTATATTTAACCTAGATCTTCATACGCTTTCTGGGTTTCTATGCAGTGGGTAGTACCCCCCAGGCTGGGCGCTCAGACACAACAGAATTGCAGGCAGAACAACTGTGTGCCACGTAGGAGCTGCATGTGGCTCTTCTTCGAGGTGGTTCTGGTAGACCCCTGCAGGGCTAAAACCAACACGGGGCAAGATCACAGGCCAAGCATTTTTCAGTCTGGTAAACATGTAGGTCTGTGATGTTAGAGTGCAGAGCATTCTGCGCTCAATAGATTGTAGGTCAGGCTTTTCTTTTTCTCTGTATCGTTCACGGAGTCAGAGAACTGCTTTGAGAGAGGGCAAGATTTGCACGTGTATGGACCGAGAAATGCCGTGCACCAGTAAACGTTTGTCTAAGGACTGTCATACGGAAGTTGAGCTCTTCCATTGTCAGTGTATGCTTGCTGCAAGCAGTACAGAAATGGAACAGCAGCCGAATAAAAGCAGACACCAGATTAGCTGAAATCCTGTAATGAATACAATACTTGCCAGTGTATTAATATGTTCTCTTCACATTAGAAGAAAATTGTTCGCTCTGTGTGCCGCTTCCTGAGCAGGTTTTGAATGTAGGGCTCTAATCCTCCTGCTAAGCCGGGCGAGCTCTGCCCTGAGCGAAGGAGGTGCTGCTCACAGGGGGGGCTGTGTGCGGCTCCAGCAAGCTCAGCTGTTTTTCCCTTGCCCTTTCCCCTTGTCATTAGAAGCTAATGCCCCTATATCCAGTATTTAAAATCAATGCCTCTGTTTCTGGTGACTGTAACGCTCCCCGCGGACTCTTCACTCATTACGTTCTTCCCTCCCAGCTGCCTTAAAATGTTTGGATCTAAAATTAAAAAGGAAATATATTCTGGAGCAAGCGGGTGCTGAGAGGAAAGACCCTTTCTCTCTCCTCTCGTGTCTGAGAACTGATGAAAAGAAAGTGCAACTGTCATCAAAAAGCATCCTCTGCCTGGACCCGATTTGGGCGTCAGCGGCATGTTTGATTTCGGGGTTGCGGGGGGAATTACTGCTGCACAGCGAGCGGAGTGCCCGGCTGCCCCCGCCTCCTCCTGCAGTGCAGCCTCCCCTCCAGGGCCTCTTGTGTCTGGGGCAGGAGAGAGAAGCGGTGCGTTGGCAGCAGCTAGCCCTGGCATCTGCATCTCGGGTCATTGCAGCAGCCCTTACCAGGAAGCTGGTGGTTTGCTCAAGGTGCTGAAAATAAGCCTGTGGTAGTGAACAAGCCTAGCTGTTGGCATTTTACAAAACGATTTATCAGTTTATTGCTGCTCCTGCATCTCTCTAGGTTGAATTTTGAACTGTGGATGCAGTGGGCACAGCCCCAGGATCCAGGGGTTTGGCTTGGGGAGCTGCAGGTCAAGGGGGTGCTGGGCATGCACTACAGTGGGTTTCAGATACTCCTAGGTTTCCTGCTTTCTCTGGGAGAGCGCCTTGGAGTTGCCTCTGGACGTACATAGTTCTCCATCTACTTAGAATAGTCTGGCTGGGTAGGGGTTTAGCCTCACCCCATCTCTAACCAGTTGGTAAAATGAGCTCCCCTCCCTGTTAGATGCCATTTGTGGCACGTAGCTGAGAAACTATGATGAGCATTAAAGCAGGAGTGTTCAAAGAGGTATAAACCTCTTCGTATAAACACCATGAGCGGTGGCAGTGGTTAGGAGGGACTGTTCCCAGGGGCAGCTGATCCCAACGTTGCCTGCTGCAAGCTTACGTGTACCTGCTATTGGCTGCGGTAGGAAAACAGAAAAAGAGTAGAGGCAGAGCTTAGCAATCACAGAGTTTCATTGCTCCTACAGAGTGTGGGACAGAGAAGCCACACAAGCAGCTTTGAGCATTTTCCACCTGAATTTCGTGCCCATGGAGGAGTCTCAGCATCAGCCCTGGGGAATGAGGCTGCCTCTTTGAGGAGACATTAGCAGCGGTGTGTGTTTCCTGAGCTGTCCCACTAATTCTGGCACAGATAACCATAGTGGATACAGAGTTTAGTCTTTATATGCTTCCCAGGTATTTTGAGGCAGCAAGCATCTGATGGCAGACCAGAAGCTACCCAACGGTGGCTGTTACAAGCGATACCAAGTTTGGTATCGCCGTCAATTCCCAGAGGCACCCCGTGCACTTAGGCAGTTTCTGTTGCTGCACTTCTGCTCCAGAAGGCGGTACTGGTCCGGCTCTCTTACCTATCACAGCAGCAACCAAACACTTCAGCAGCAGCCGCAGGATTTCCTTCTGGCCTGACGCCGTCTTTTTTTACACTAACTTGACACTAACTTTGGTTGACTCTTGCCTCTGGATTTATTCTGCTTAGTGGGAAGCGAATTTGCTCTGTGCTGCTTTACAGTCTGACTTGGAGAACCGGGTGCGGTCAGTGCAAATAGCTCTCCTAGGCAGCACTGTACCAACAGATCACTGGGAAAAGAGACCAGAGGAAGATTCAGATTACTATATTTTCAAAATAAAGCTGACCTTTAAAACCCAATAGAGCATCCGGGACAAATAAACACTTGGAGCTCGTGGCTTTTGGGCCTCCTCAGTCAGCCTCTTTAGTACTGCCAGACATGTCACCGTGTTTATAGAAAGAGCTGTGACTCATACCAGAACGCCGTGAATGTGGCCAAGTTGACTGAGTGAATCAGCGAAGAGACCCAAGTGCAGTACCAAGAGATTTGACTTTAGGAGGATGCAAAGCTCAAAAATGCCTGGAGCTAATTTGTATTGGAGATTCACAGTAAAAGAGTTGGAGAAAGGCCAATGAGTAGGGTAACTAGTCCATTCCTCTGTCACTGCAGAACTTCAGTAGATTTTCTTTTGTTTTGTCCAGTCTTGTTTTCAAATACTGCCAGAGAGGAGAATTGCCGCCATATTTATTTTTCCACCTACTAGATCATGATCAAGGAAGTCTGTTTTTTCTGTTGTCTTGATGTTCCTAAGCCAGGATTTCCATACTTTTCACAAAGTACATCTCACTTCAGGGCCTTTCTGGGAAACAACATCTCATGATGTCGCTGCAGCAATAACATCAAATGTATGCATAAAAAAGTAAAGGATGTCTGCTTGTCTGAGTATCTACTAGTGGTGTCTTGATGCACTTCATGCTGCCCCTAAAAACCACGGCCATCCTTAGCAGGTCTCCTTGAATCTATCATGTACTTGGGTCTCTTTTTTCAACAACTGACCAATTTCCTTAAGAGTGAATTTTTTTCTGAGCAGCCTAACAGATTTAGATTTGCAGCTGTCATTAATTCCAGTGGAAATAAAAATCCTCAAGCTAGCTCTGGGGCTTCCCTCAGATCTTGTCTACGTCATTCTGGCACTGAAGGTGTCACAGCTGGAATTCAGTCATTCCAGAGCAGAATAACTATGCCAGAGCAGAATGACAAGGCTTCAGCCTTCCTTCTGCCTTGTTTACCTGTTTTCCCTGGTGGTGAGGGGCAGATATTTGGGGATTGAAGCCCGTGAGCGCAGCCGTACATGCCAACAGGCAGCAGGGAAGCAAGCAGGCGCTTCATGGAGTAGGAAAGAGCTGTAGAAACACACTGCAGTGAGTGTCTGGACATGGGTCCTTCTCTAACAATCATGCATCAAATCGGCATTTGAATGCACGGTTTGAAAATTTAGGTTTGATGTGATTGAATACACATATTTTATTATAATCTTAGGACAAAACCTCTGGAAGCATGCTCAGTGAGGTGTTTCCTAATGTCTGAGTAAAAGAGGTTGCTAACCATACACTGGATTTGTAAGAGGGTTGGGTGACACCTCAAACCAGCTGTAGCCTTTTGACTCTGGAGGGAAGTTGATGCCCCAGGACATGGGAGCAGTGTAAGTGCACTGGCAGGGCTCCATGGGACTGTGGGAAAGCCAGAGATTACAAGTGCTCCCTGACTGTTTGCTTTTGTAGGCTGAGAGCAGCAGA